AAAAGCTGCAAATGAATAGGATCCAAATTCAACCAAAATGCTGTCTCGATGATTTAACGGTCGTTTACGGATTTCCAAGTCCCGAACTTCCCGTTTTCATGAACCTAATCAATACGCCATGCAGTCAAGATAACCGTCGTTTGTCATTACTGGAATAATCTTTATGTGTCACGGTTGAGCGTGCTGATAGAAAAGAAAGACAGGAAGGAGAGTAAATTGTTCCGAAAGGATTACACGTCGTCTTCCGAGAGACAATTTTGTCGAGTAGCGAACTGGGAAATCAGTAACAACATAACTATATGGTACAGGGCAGCAAGAAAGAATCTGACTGAGTAAAATATTGTTGAATTATTGTTCTGTGATAGCCAGCACTATCTGTTATTCCTTTTAACTTCAGTCAAATTATTAGATATTCTTAATTTTTTGAAAAATGCCTTATTGATATGTTTTAAACCACATTGATTACTTAGACCTTTTGAAAAAAAAAATATTAACAATAATCAATTTGACAGGCCATTGGAGGAAGATGTTGTTCTTTGAGCGTTTTGCCTTAAAAAAAAAGTGGTTTTATACGCCTACGTTTTATTGTTTTCAATGGAGATTTTACCTAAGAAAAATCTCGTTCAATTCGGGAAAATCGTAGTCGGTTTCGCATCCACGCCCATGCCGCCGCGACCTTGCGGTTTTGGTAGAGGTTTGTCAGGAACTTAATATTCTGAAGTTTCAAGAACAAATTTAACGTCTCTTATATAGATATTTTTCACTTTTACGCGTCAGTATAATAGACGAAGGCAAATACGAGTCATTCAAATATGAAAAAAATAGTGCGGCATCAATGTTGTTTCATTAAGAAATACATAACTAACGTACTTTAAGTTGAAACTTGACACCGAGAGAGAGGGAGGGAGAGAGAGAGAGAGAGAGAGAGAGAGAGAGAGAGAAAACAGGCAGGCAAATAAAAACAAAGAAACACAAGATAGACCAAAATAGAGAATGAGTAAGAGTGAGTGAGAGATGGGAAAGCGGTGTAGAGAAACAGGCAGAGTTTCAGGGATATTCAGACACACCGACGATTAGAAACAAAAGAGAGAGGTAGAGATTGAGAGAGAGGGAAAGAGAGAGAGAGAGAAACAGGCAAAGAAAAACAGACGGACAGGTAAATAGAAACACAAGAAAGAGCAAAAGAGGGAATGAGAAAGAGAGATGAGAGATGGGGAGGCGGTGTTGAGAAACCTGTGTGTAGTTTCAAAGAGATTCAGACACACCGACAAAACAAAAGAGAGAGAGAGAGAGTGAGAGGGATAAAACAAGATATAAAGAAAAGTGGAAAGAGACAAAAAGAGAAAAAGACCAATAATATGAACGAACAGGGATAATTACGATACACAGAGAAAGTGAAAAGCGGTACAGACATTTAGACAGACAAGATCGGAAAAGACAGTCTGACAAACCGAGAAAAAGAGGGCGTTACAAAGAAAAGTAAAGAGAAGCGAAGAGAGAAACAGTAAAAGAATGATCAATAAATGAGAAAAAATAAAGAAATAATTAAAGTACAAATAAAGACAAAAGGAACGATAAAGTAAGAGAGGGGAGAGAGAAAGAAATGTAGTGAGAGAGGAAGGGGAAACCCTAAAAAAATCCGAATCCATGAAAAAGACATATTGATGAAGATTTTTTTCTTTCTGCTTGTATTTTGTATTTGTATAATATCTTGTATAATATCTAACCTTTGAACAGAACAATCTATATGTCTGAATATTTATGTGTTATTTTTATAACATGTGTGCCTTAAACCTTATTATACTTTTTAAATCTACATGTTTATTCATACTTCACAAACAGTTCCATTTTATCTAATTGAATATTCAATAACTTGAACAATTCGTAACTCAAAATTTTCTAATAACAGTCCAATAAATCGAGCATATTATCCCGTCTGCAGTAACTGTTGAACTGGAACTCTTTCCAGGTTTGAAGAACTTACAGCGAACGGTGTGGAACGCAGTTCGTCATGATATCTTTTTTCCTAGCATGGGAAAATGCTTTGGTGTACCGTTTTCCACTCGGCCATTGTCATGTCACTTGATATACAATCCATAAATCGAAATGACGTACCACAAAAAAATATCTTTAGCCATCACATCGCTTGTGCCCTCTAAAAAATCTTATAAAAAAATAATTGTATAAATTAATCAACGTAATTACCACGAATGAACACGGCTCATCTGACCTTTCGTCCTTTTGCCGAGATAAGAACTCTTAAATTTTACGGTGTCTGCATCGGGATGACGAACAGGATGATTTAATAACCAAGGAGAGCTCTGCAAGGACCTTTCTTGCCCTTCAACCCTTCACGATTCACAGAGCAAAAGGATTCAAAGGGAAAATCTGAAAGTTTCCAGGGACAAAGAAACATCAAACGATCAGAAGGACGATTTCTTGAATCTGGTTAAGCCCGAGGGTTAAAGCCAATAATAGAAATAAATACATAATATAATAAATATAGCCAATTGTTAATAATTTCTTTTTTACCTTGACCCGCTCTATTCCTCAAACATAGACAACCAAACACACACTTTCATAAAATGTAATCATTGTTTTTTGTTATTTTTGTTAATAATTCCTGAACTGTTGGAAAATATTGATTTAATTACTAGGGAAAGACAGAGTTTAGCTTACTATTTAGTTATTATTTTAATTTCATTAATGGAGTTTAGCAGATTATTTATTAAATAGTCTCCAGAAACATATATATATATATATCTTTAGATTTCGTGGTCCGGTTGATCAAATAACATCTTTCAATTAATTAATCTTTTATGTAAGGTATTGGTTGAGATAAAAAAGTCAGTGTCACGTGCGGATTCGAACCCACGACCCTCGGCTAAATACGCCGCTGCTCTACCACTTGAGCTATCGTGACTACGATCCATGGGTCAACAACTTCCGATCTCCACCCAACCTTTCGAATTTGTACTCATATATATATATGAGTATATATATATATACTTTTTTTCATAGTGAAAGTTATAGTGTAAGGTTGAAGATACAACAACCTTTTGAATTTTCCCTCCTTTTTGCCATTTTTCAATTTTATATTTTAACGTGATAAGGAGGCAATGCCCACAACACACAAATATAAATAATCAACAAATATAAATCTTTTCAATTAATTAAGGCTTTGGTTGAGATAAAAAAGTCAGTGTCCCGAGCGGGATTCGAACCCACGACCTTCGGCTAAATACACCGTTGCTCTTACGCTTGAACTATCGGTAGAGAGCCGGTAGATATAGGCGAAGGTCGTCGGCTAGAATTCCGCTCTTGACACTGTCTTTTTTATCTCAACCAAAGCTTTAATTAATTGAAAATAATTTATTTGGTCAAGCGGCCTACGAAACCTAATAAATATAATTCTATTGAATTTTTAGACAGTTTCAATTGGAGAAAATTGAGAAAACTATTGACATGCAGATTTCAAAGTCTGTATAAAGGATTTTACTCATAATAGTAATGTCAAGAAAATGATCCTGAATGTGATTAAACTATAAGTTCCCATATGTCGGTATGAGAAGTTTAAAGTCAATTTAAGCAGATTTGATACCGTATAAGGCAAAGACCCTTGTGAATATAGTTCTGAACAGTTGGACCATATCATTCCAATTTGTATTCAAGTATTTCGAACCGGAGGGAGCCTCGTTTGTTATACCAGTGGTGGCTGCACACTGACTACGCATAATCGTTAGTTTTCATGTAGCAGTGATATAGTGCAAATGATTTAGCGGAAATGAAGCACTCGTGCATTTGAATACTTTCTTTGATGACAAATCACTATTTTATTTGCTTGATCTGTTTGCTATAGTTCCTATAGAAATAAACAAAATTACTTCTACCATAGATATCATTGATTCGCTAATAGAATACAATTGGACAATAAAAATAAAATTAGAGCTTCAAAAGCAGATTAGAAGATCAAGATTAAAAATTAATGAATTCTTCTGAAAATTGGTTCCCTCTGTAAGAGGATTACAATTATATTGTAACGATAAGTCACTTAAACTAATAAGTTGTCAAAAGACAACTTATTGGGATGGCAACTCTCAAGTCCCCCTCTCACTCACTGCTTTCCACTTTGTATCCCTCTCTCTCTCTCTCTCTCTCTTTCGCTCTCTCTCTCTCTCTCTCTCTCTCTCTCTCCCTCTCTCTCTCTCTCGCTCACACACACACACACACACACACACACACACACAAACCTTCCATCTCTCACTATCATTCTCTCACATCTCCCTCTTTCCTTTCACTCTTTCACTCGTTCTCTCTAATCCTATCCAGTACGCTCGAACAATTACAAATATTTTAAATATTTCTTCTCTTCCTCACATACAAAAAAACCCAATTTCCTTCTTAAGATCTTCCACCTGCCATCTCTGTCTCTCTGTCTCTCTGTCTCTCTCTCTCTCTCTCTCTCTTTCTATCTATCTCTATCGCACTCCCTTTCCCTCCCACTCTCTCTCTCTCTCTCTCTCTCTCTCTTTCTCTTTTTCTCTCTCTGTTCGTCCGTTTTGCTCTTTTTCACGCCATTTATTACTTTCAATTTTTCTCACACATAAAGAGCTCTTTCTCTTCTCTGTTCTTCTTAAGATCCACAAAAATTCTCTCTCTCTCTCTCTCTCTCTCTCTCTCTCTTTCTCTCTCTCTCTCTCTCTGTTCGTCCGTTTTGCTCTCTTTCACGCCATTTATTACTTTCAATTTTTCTCACACATAAAGAGCTCTTTCTCTTCTCTGTTCTTCTTAAGATCCACAAAAATTCTCTCTCTCTCTCTCTCTCTCCACACAAAAAACACAGTGAATCTCTCACAAACCCTCTCTGTATTTCTGGACACAGAACGCTTTAAACGCGTTAGTTAAATTTAGGAGGAACTTAATAATAAATTTACCAGTGCATCTGCATATTCTGAAATTGAATTTTACGCCGAATATTAATGGGAAATTGATTTTTACAGGAATGCAAGAGGCGGAAGCGGAATTCGAAGCCGGGGTGCGACGACTGGGCGAAGGGCGCGTCGCCCTCGGCCTTCGTCGTGAGATCGAAGAAGAGCTTGCAGTGAACGGCGGAGCGAGCGGCCTCGTCGGTATCAGAGGAGGCAGCAGAAACAGCAGCAGAAGCGGCAGCTACAGCGGGCCGACGTCCGTCGGCGGTGGTGGGAACGGCGGCAGGAGGCCCCGCTCGTGGGGGCCCCAGCCCGGCGACGCCCTCTCGTGGCTCCTCTGGCAGCCGTACGACGTTCAGTCAGGGTCTGGGAGCCGTCATGTCGACATGTCCCAGTGCAACGTGAGTGTTGTGCCAGTGAGTGAGACTCAGCAAGTGACCACCCGCACGTTCACCTCGACGGAAGCGCAGACGGAGGAAGTGCCGCCCCCGCCGAGGAGCAACCGGAGAAGACGGCATCGCCTTCCCGACCTGCTGGATTCCCACCTGCCGCCCCCTTACACCGCCCCTCAGCCCATCCCGCTCCCATTTCACATCGTGCCATCAAGAAGACGGTGAGTACAAAATATCTTAGCCATACAAAATCCCTTTATAAATCTAGAAAAAATCTAAACTAACAATAGGTAAACAATGTTTCAGAATAATCAAGTAATCTTGATCTTAAATCCATATTGTAGACATTAGACAGACAGAATCAAAACACGTTCTGAATTGGAAATTTTACCATGCTTGTTACTCTCGTGAAAATTTCTCAGGTTCCACCAGCAGTAATAAAATAATAAATGTAAGCAAGAGTAATGTCCGGCAAAAAATATTCATAAATTGTGGATTAAAAACTAACTACAATATCGAATGGCTAAAGCAAAAAAAAAAAAAAAAAAAAAAAAAAAAAAACGTTTTAGGACACAACGATCTATTTTCCCAACTAGAAAAACGATTGATTATTTAATAATAATGTTGTAAAACTAAAAAGTTTTCAATATTTTACTTTTAACCATAGAAAAGACCGAACAATCAAAAATTTGTTTGATAAAAATTTTTTTCAGCTTCCATTAGCAGTCGACCAAAAACTAAAGATCCTTTGTTCTTGAACAAAATGGCAGGTGTTTTAGTCTTCCAATCACTTGTGTATTTTCTGTCTTTTCGGCAATGTTTTTAAATGAACATAGCAAAATAAAAAATTAATCTCTGCCACCTTTCTAAAAATCCTTTTGGACTTAGTTTTAGACCTTTGGAGTGAAGCCAAGCTTTTAATTACTCTCGATGCAAAGTCCCCCCCCCAAAAAAAAAAGAACCAAACCTACGTTAAAAAAGACCATCAATCACATTTATTTCCAGTTTTACAAAATTAACACCCAATTAAAGCATAAATTAGACTCCAATCATGCCTATATAGCGTCTTCAACTTCTATAAAGTTCCAAAGAAGTCCTTCGAACTTGTATCATACTTTATTTATTATTAACTTTAATACAGTTTTTCTTAAAATATTCTTATAAAAAGTTCTTTTAGATAAAACATTGGCAATCTAACAGGAAGTAAAGTAAAGTGTCAAACAATGAACCGTAACATCGTGAGGTATCTCGGTTTTTTTCTCTATTTACCTAAGATAAATAAAGAGCTTTTCAATCATACCAACTTCGACGTGTTTACACGTGTGGCATTATTGATAACCAATTATTTTGGTCTAACAAGGCCGTGATAAATCGAAACCAAATTTTAACAAAGTCACTGCTGAAAGTTAGTACATATTATAAAGAAAGGGTTATTTATAAAATTTCCTAATAAAACAACACTGACCCAATAAAAAGGAACGCCTGGGATGAAAACGTCTATGGTTTTATATGCAAAACAAATTGGAAGACGTTCACGAAATCCGTGATGTGATGTAGCATGGTGGCAAAACCCGTTCCTGCCCTCAATAATAGCCTCGCCTCCTTTCTAAACTCGAGTCCCTTTAGTCGGACGGTTTTATTACAAAATAAATTAAAAGTTTGTCTATTTTGAAGATTTTTTTTTTCTTTAAGTAGAAAAACTGGGTTTTGTACTTTTCAAAATTGACTTCAAAGTTTTTTAATTTGGCGTGTCTTATACTTAAAACTATTTAACATTTATGTTCGTACATATCTGTTTTAAAAATATTTTATTTAACCCTTTGTAAAAAAAATTCACATTTTAAACTGACAATAAATAACGGGAAAGTTTTTCTATGGATTCGGTTGGTTAAAGATTCTTTATCGATCTCTTTTTAAGTCCTTCGTAAGAAAATTTTCCCATGAAATCCTTTATGTGCCAGAAAACCTCCTCCATTAATATTTTATATAAAAAAAGAAAAGAAAAAACAAGATTACACAGTCGGCATTGAATTACACCTCCTAACAACCTGGTGAAAAATTATTTCTCTTTAATCTTAATCAAAAGACGTAAACAACCATAACATCAAAAGGACTGTAGTGGCATTAGAAAGAAAAAAAAGTTCTTTTAAACGAAAGGCCAAGTTAATAGGTCTATTGCTTTGGATAAACAAGACAAATCGAGTCAACAAGTCAACTTAAATAAACGAAGTTCCATTAGTGCTATATTACAGGATTTTTTAAAAACTAAGATCTGTGAATATTTTTCTTATATTTTGATATGTAAACACTGAGTAAAATCCAGTCAAAATATATAGAAACATAAATTGTGAAATAAAAACAAACTATATTATCGAACAGCCAAACGGAAACATTTTAGGATACAACGATCTATTTTCCAAATTCGAGAAACGATTGATTATTTAATAATAATGTTGTATTACTAGAGCTTTTGCAATTTTACATTAAAGCCGAAGGTCGTGGGTTCGAATCCCGCTCGTGACACTAACTTTTTGATCTCAGCCAAGACCTTCCATAAAAAGATTAATTAATGAAAGAAGTTACTTGGTTAATCGGACCACGAAATATAAAATGGATTAAGCATAGATTTTATTAGCATGCTATAGGGTCATAGAAAAGACCGAACAATCAAAAATTTGCCTAATAAAAACGTAATAAAAAAATTGCAGTATGTTTATATAAAGGATATAAGAAAAATAATGAAAATAACTTACGTACAATTATGAACTAAGATAATACACATTTATATAATAATAAATAAATCTCTGTATTTTTCACTTTCTTGTAAACAAGAAATTCGGTTGGTTTTTTTAATCCTATCTCAATAAAAAATACGTTACTATAAAAATGGTGCATAAAGATGATTTTTATAAACAGATTATATGTAAAATATTTCAATAAATGGCACAAAAAGTATTTAAGATACAGAAAAAATCCATACGTCACGACTTGTATCGCAGAAGCTTCAAAGTAGTAGAGATTTTTAAAATTTGAAATAATGACAAAAAGGGAAAGAAAGCTTCCAAACAATGAGTCAATAATAAAAATATGCGTTGAATTCCATTAAAATAATCTTACGCAAAAGCTGAGGTAATGGCGAAAAATTCAATTCTAAACGTGACTTTTCTCGGTTTCTTAGGCTATAATTTTTATTCTAAGGAAAAGTCCGCAATTGGATGTGCATCAGTATATTTCCCTGTTGCTATAGTTACAATTTTTTGTTTTATTAAACGAATGTTACAATTACTCCATATGATTAATAAACGTATATTGAACCTTTCTTCCCCTGTTTTGTCATTTTATCATCGCTTACGTAAATTTTTTTGTCTTTTCTTAAAATTTAAAATGTTTATATATGGATTGTGAAAATTAGAAATTAAATATTAAATAAATTTTTGAACTGATTCTAATAGAGGGAAATAGGCATTATTAGCTGGCAAAATTTCATACACAATATTTGAGCAAGCAGTTTTTTTTACTGCAATACCCACCAGACACTCAGTTTATTATAATATTGATCAAATAATTTTTTTAAGTACGAACTGAATTTCCCAGACTAGACAGCTAAAAACTATTGGAAACATTATTTAAAATTACTGATTATCCTTATTGATCAGTCTTGTCCCCCCCCGCTGATTCATACTCAAATGCGTTTGCATTGTCATTCGCTCGCAAATGTGTACGTCATTTGAAGCAACACAATAAAATGAAAGAAAAAACTATAATAAAGTATATTGAAGTGTAGTGCTGTGGAAGAAAATGTAGGAATCGTTTTTCGTATGAAAACATTTCATTTTCATTTACTTCACGATTGATTAATTAAAGGAAAAACTTAATTGAATAGTATGAAACCGGTTTTATGAGATTCTGAGTTTTAGAAGTGCTTATAATTATTTTTTTAACATTGCGATGTGTTTTGGTTTGTGATGAACTCGATGAACTTGCAACACGCTATCTACTACGCTGTTTGAAGGCTCTTATTTTTTCTTGTACGCACAACGTCAAAAATTACCCCCCATAATAAAATAACGTGCTAATTCACTGGAATCGGGGTGTAAGGTTTTTTGGAGTAAATTTTCCGGAAATCTGGAGAAATAAGAATCCGATCAGAAAATTCCTTCCTGAAAATTTTACACTCTTCAGTATATTCACACTTTTCTTTTTACATTTCATATGGTAATAATAGGGCAACGTATTTAAAATGAACTGTTTTTCATCATAAACTATTGTTTCCTTACTTGGTTTTATCGTGGCCAATAGTTAACTCAACGGGAGCATCGACTTCTCTGGCCAAAAGTTTTTTAAATATATTTTTAAGATTAAATAACTTCCGTTTTTTGGACAAAACAAAATCTTGGGTTTCTGAGCTTTATAAGTGGTAGAAATAACTTGCATGAAAATTGCGAATCAATTCGGGCAATTAGAAATGATAAATGTTAGTATGTTGTTTAATCTTTATTAAAAAAAACTTTATGTAAGGTATTGGTTAACATAAAAAAAGTCAGAGTCACTAGCGGGATTCGAACCCACGACCTTCGGCTAAATATGCCGCGCTGCTCTACCACCTGAGCTATCGTGGCTTCGATCTACTCGGTCACTAACTTGCCTTCTCAACCAATACCTTTTTTATCTCAAACAATACCTTCCATAAAGATTAATTAATTAAAAAAAAGTTATTTGGTCAATCGGACCACAAACTCTAAAGGCTTTATTAAAAAGTTAGATCTTACTCACAGTTTGTTGTTTTCAACGATCCGGATTTCAAGCTTAATTGGTTCATCAATATGTAAATCCTTCAACCTGATGATGAGCTTAAAGGCTTGAAATCTGGTCGAGGAAAACAGCGAACTGTGAGTAAGATCAAACTTTTCAGAAAAGATCAATTCTGGTTTGTCATGGTTTGAGAAAATTGCACCCCGTCATCCCTTACGTATATTGAATTTCAGTCTCTTATATATATTCTGCATAGGCAACTAGTTTCCACGCAAAAAACAATATCTATCAACTGCAAAAGGAATCGGTTTTTATGGCGTAAATTTGGTGACAAGGGGAAAAATTCTAACTCGGTCATAAAATTGTTTATGTTAAATGATACGCTTTTCTCAAATAATCTTCATTATATTGAATCGATTCTTTTTTCATTTTGTACACCAATAACACCCTGCAAAAAGGAGTGAGCAGG